TGGCCCCTCTCCCCCCTCAGCCTGTGGCGACTGTCCAGATCCCATCCCTGAGTGTCAGGAAGGAGAGGCGCTCACCGTGGACAGGAACACCACAGAGCTCTGCTGCCCTGTGTACCAGTGTGGTGAGTCCCAGCTGGACATGGGGACCTAACCGTAAGGGGCTCCAGGGACATTTATGTGCCACCAGAAACTGTCCGGCTAGCTCAGTGGGTAGAGCATGAGACTCTTATGTGCCACCAGGCCCCTTCACCATGCCCTCACCTCAGGACCGTGGGAGTTCAACAGGGAGCAACAGGGAGCCCCCAGGTAGTAAGCACCGAAGCATGAAGTAGCCAAAGCCATGATGAGACCCCACCCGAGGAAGCGGGGCCAGGCCAGGGGAGCCGGATGGTGTGGGGTCCAGGCTGTGACGTGGGTGGCTCTGAGGCTTCATGAAGAGGTTCCCTGTCCCCTCCATGGCCACCCAGCCCAGGGCCAGGGACAGGCCTGGGTTGAAGCCACCCCAATCCTCCTAGCATTGATTTACAGTCTTCATTCTCTGACCCCAGGCCCCTGCTTCACAATCTCTTTTGTCACTGTATTACCCTGGTATCTGCACATGGAGGCTGCATCCCTGACGACCCTGCATCTTGAAGCCTCTGAAGCTCTTTGGTTTTGCAATCGCAAATAAGCGTGGGCCCTTTCTGATAATTTTACAGGACATATACCTTAATACAGTGTGTACTATGTACCTAGTACCTTAATAGTACCTGGTAGACATAGTACGGCCAGCATGTGAGACCTGAAGAACACCTGATGGATAAGAATTAACAGACTGGTTAAATGTAAAGATGACCCCATTTGCAAAAGCTGCACATTGACTGTGGGAAAAACGTGAGCGAACCTCACGGGCACAGAGCGGTGCCAGTGAGGACCGTCTGCCAGGATACAACAGGGGCAACGCCGACTGCTTCAAGTGTCAGGAACCAAGTCTGAAGCAGTGTAGGTTTCCCATGGAGCGTTCCCCAGATGCGCTGTCCACACCGGGCCAATCGGCTCCACCCGGGGTCTCAGAGGCCAGTGGTCCCAAAAGTGGGGCCAGCTTACAAAGATGATCTGATGATGATCTCAATGTCCTTCCTCTCGTCTTCTCTCTCCTTTTTCTGCGCGTCTCTTCTTCTCTCCACCTCACCCCCCTCTCTTGTTCACGTGTCTCTCCACGCTTCTCAGGAGAAAGCCTGGTCGTGTGCAGTGAGTACAAGCAGGGTCAGTGAGTCATGGTTTTGCACCCCAGTCCTGCCATTTTCTGGCTGTGTGGCCTAGGGCGAGTCACGAACTCTCTGAGCCAAGGTTCCTCATTTGTAAAATGAGGTGCTAATAGTATGTCCCCTGAGGGGCAGTTGTGAAGCCTGGAGATAATATATGAAATACTTGATGGTCTTTGGGATACAGAGGTGCTCAGTATAAGGAGGCTATTGATATTATTACCTTCTCCCAATCTTCATTGTACTTTTATTATAGAGGCACTATATATGCCTTATAGAAAGTACGGAATCCAAGTAAAGATAAGAAAGTGAAAATACTTTCTTCCTGCTTCCACTGTCAGCACTTGAGTATATATCCTTTCAAATAGTCTCTATGCCTTTATATGTGTGTGTGTGTGTGTGTGCTTTTTAACCAAAATAAGCATGTATATGCTTTTTTATTTTATGTTTTATTGTTTTTATTAAAGTATAGTCAATGTACAATATTATATTAGTTTCAGATGTACAACATATTGATTCAAGAAGATGTTACTCTGTCTTCACCATGATGAATGTAGTCACCGACTGTCACCATGCAATGTCATTACAATATTACTGACCATATTCCCTACGCTGTACTTTTCATCTCTGTGACTTATTTATTTTATAACTGCAAGTTTGTATCTTAATCCCCATCACCTATTTCACTCAGCTCCTCACCCGCCTTCCCTCTGGTAACCACCAGTTTGTTCTCTGCAGTTAAGAGTCTGGCTTTTTTGTTTGTTTTCTTGTTCATTTGTTCTGTTTTTCAGACTCCACACATAAATGAAATCATATGGTATCTGTCTTTCTCAGTGTGACTTATTTCACTGAGCATCATACCGTCTAGCTCTATCCATGTCACCAACAATGTGCACGTGCTCTTTTTTAACCAGCTGTTTTCAGTTAATGTTAATAAAAATTTCAAGTTCTATCATACCCCATCTATGATTTTCCTGGTTTGTCCAACCCAGGACCTGTGGTCTCTTAAATATCATTTAATCTAGCATAAGCATCTTTTCCTGCGTGACATGGAATTGTAGAGTTTGGGTTGTGGTCCTGCAGAAAGTCCTACCTTCTAGATTTATCCACTTGCTTCCTCCGGGAACTGTTTTCCTTGCTCCTCCCCATCCTCTGTGCTTCCTATAAACTAGAAGTTAGATCTAAGACCCGGTGGATTCAAGTTGTGTGTGTGGGACCTAACAGAACACGAACTTCAACGTACATCACATCACGAGATACAGACTAGCTGGTTGAGACACCGCGACTCAGGCTAATGTTGGTCCTGGATTATGGTGGGGACTGCCAGATGCCTCCATCTTACATTTACAGTTTTCCTCTTTCAGCCAGAAAGTAACCCATTACTTTGACACTATACAAAAGTCCTTCTCTTCCTCCACCTCATAATTTTTTTGATAATCCTAACCTGACTACTCGCAGGGTGACACAGAATTCAGGGGAGGGAAGGCCCAGCTGAGTGACTTTAAGGTTCTGACATTGTCATATCGCTAATGCCTCATCAGAGTGGAACTATGTCTTCCACTAGGAGTTCTATGGAGAGACTCCAGGAGCCCAGACTTCTTCCCAGGACTCTAGCCCTGGAGGGTGTCTGAGGACACTGGGGGGAACCCAAGGAGGAGCCCTCTCCTTAGCCAATGTTGCATTTTGGGGATTTCTGCTCCAGGTATCTGCAGCTGATGTGTCCCCTGCCTCCCCTCCCTCGCAGTGTGTGAGAGCTTCCGCTGTCCTCAAGTACAGTGTGGCATGGGCACTGCTCTGGTGGAGGTGTGGAGCCCAGACCGCTGCTGCCCCTACAAGTCCTGTGGTAAGTCCCTGGCCAGGGATGCCCTTCCCCAAAGGCAGGGATCCAGGGCCCCCGTGAAGAGTAAGGGAGGGGAGGAATGACCCACCACTGTCCCTCCAGAATCCCCAGATGGAAGCTGCCAAAATCACCTTCCTCGCCCTGCATCTGATCTCTGGGTGCTTAGCATTCCTATACCTTTTTCTCCCCAGGACAAAAGAAGGGAAAAATCAAGTTCCTTGTTCCCAAAAGGTTTTTCCTTCTAAAGCAAGTCTTTATTGCAGCTGTCTGTTAGTAAGCATGATTTTTGTTAAAATTTACCTCAGTGGCACCTGGGTGGCTCAGTTGGTTAAGTGTCTGACTCTTGATTTCGGCTCAGGTCGTGATCTCACGGTTTGTGAGTTCGAGGCCCATGTCGGGCTCTGTGCTGTTGCAGAGCCTGCTCGAGATCCGCTTTCTCTCTCCGCCCCTCCCCCCCAAATAAACAAACAAACAAACAAACAAAAATTACCTCAAACTCCTTTGGGAGCATCAATGATCAATAGTGAATACCAGTGAGCTTTATATAAAATGTTATTTAAAAAGAGTTGAGAAATTATTTTGCATTTATTTCACTGTCTTTTTCCAGGCCTGCAATGTAAGCTTCACGAGAGTAGAGATTTTAGTCTATTTTACTCATTGTGTTGTCCCCAGAGCACAGAAAAGCCTCAACATATAGTAAACATGACTGAGTGACCCGGGAGAGCGTTTCACAGGCACTGTGAGCTCTCCTTACCTTGAAGCTCGAGCTGACGTGGTGTCTGTTAAGTTTGCTAGTGGGGCCACAGCAGTCTTCCAACAGGACGTGCCCCTGGTCAGAAGTTCCGCCCTTGATGCGTTCCCTCCTGGAGAGGCTCCACATCTGCTCTAGAAAGGGTTTTCAGGAGGATGGGGCAGGATGAAGCCCAGATGACAAAGGACACCTGTGATTGGTCTGTCGGCCTGTTTCTCCTCACCCGCCTCTGGTGGAGCTTAGGACCCATCACTGCCCCACCTGCCCTACCAGGAAAGCCGCAGCCCCCATGCTGGGCCAGGCTGGAGGGAAGCTGAGATTTTGGCTTCTTCCCCCCAGTCCCTATCCCAATTGGGCTTGAGTCTGTGCCAGAGGAGGGGCTGTGCCAGAGTGAGCGGCGTGGAGGCCTGGGGAAACTTCCACCTGGACGTCTCCAGTGAGACAGGTCCTGGCCCCTCCTGTTTTTCAGAGTGTGACTGCGACACAATCCCGGTGCCCCGGTGCCACCTGGTATGGAGACCCTGCTCCTCCCCGCCGTCTATGACCTGCCTCCCCCTTTCCTTTCCACTCTTTCCCATCCCCTGGAGACCCTATTCCTTTAATGTAGTGCAAAGAGCCGTGGATCACAAGTTGGCATTCTTGTCCTAAGCTCTGCCCTCTGAGCCCAGTGTCCTCATTTATAGAGTGGGCGTGAGGATGCTTCAGCATTGTGATGAGCAAGTACAATGATGATGGTGGGGATGGTGGGGATGGTGAGGATGAAGATGATGAAGGTGATGATACTTTTTACGGCAGCTCATGCTTATTGAGAGCTAACTATATGTCAGGAACGTTCCTGGGCCTTGTGTATATAGTGTCATACCAACAAGGTTGATTCCACGATGAGCTCAGTGATACAGACAAGGAAGCTAAGGTTCAGATCGTGAAGCTAGTAAATCACAGTCAGGATTAGAACCCAGGAAATCTGACTCCAGAGGCCATGCCCTTAACCACCAGACCGCACAGCCACTGAGGGAAGGGAAAATACTGTAAGAAACGTGAAGTTATGTTTAAAGTTTTTTCACAATTTTCTAGATTTTATATATTCTCCTCACCCCCTACCCCCCAGCACGCATTTCCTCTCATTTTCTCCCCCACTCCTCCCTCCTCCCTTCAACTGGTGAAGGAGGAAGGGAGATAGTATGAGCCAAGCTGGGTTCTTGGCTGGAAGCCATGCAATGGTCCCTCCCTGATGCGGCCCGTGGGTTCTTGGGATGAAAGGAGAGGCCTAAGTCCCTGAAGAAGACGTAGGGGAGTGATCCTCAGTGGGGAAGCCATACTGGGAATTTCTCCCTTGGCTGGGGAGTGACTGAGCTTGCCGGAGCTTGCCAGCCCCTCCCCACCCACCGCGAGGAGGCAGCTGATAGAGACAAGGGCCCCGGTGGCAGACTGCTCCCAAGGGCAGGGCTGGGCTTCCCCAGCGTGGGGTGCTGACTGCCTCTGCCCCACCCAGTGGGAGAAGTCCCAGCTGGACGAGGAGTTCCTGCACAGCATGGAGAACGTGTGTGGATGCGCCAAATACGAGTGCGGTGAGTGGGGAAGGGAAGCCCGTGGGGTAGAGCCAGGCTGGGCCTGATGTGCGTGCTGGGTTCCGGTGACTATTGCCATCCTGCACGCCCAACCAGTGAAGGCCCCCGTGTGCCTGAGCCGTGAGCTGGGGGTGATGCTGCCGGGCCAGACCGTGGTGGAACTCTCGGCCGATGGCGTGTGCCACACCTCCCGCTGCACTGACGTGCTCGACCCTCTTACCAGCTTCTACCAAATCAACACCACCTCTGTGCTGTGTGATGTGCACTGTGAGGCGGTAGGTGCGGGGCAGGATGGGGGTGGGCAGGGGCAGCGGCTGCCCTGGGTGATCCCTGGTGCTCCAGGAATCAGAGGAGTCTCAAGGTTTCTAGACAAGTCTGAAGAGGAGACATGGTGCAGGCAGGGGACCCTTCAGAGACCTCTGTAGAAAGTGCTGAGAACGGGCGGGGTTGGGAGAGGCCAGGAGGGGAACGGCAGGAGTGAAGGTCTGGTAAGGGCGAGTATTTGACAGAAGACGTATTGATGAAGCACCTACTTACAACTGGTACATTCCCTATTGCTTTGGTTGGTGTGTTTGTGTTGTTACCCTTTGTTGCACTTCTGCACACCCAGTATCTAAGATAGCGACTGGCTTCTAGTAAAAGCTAAAAGGGGCTGGCATTATTCCCATTTGTCAGATGAGAAAGATGAGGTTTAGGGAGGTCCGGTCATTTGTACAAATTCCCACAGGGACCGGGACTCAGACTGAGGTCTGCGTGGAAACAAAACCAGCACCCTTAATCACCAGCAGTGCTGTCTTTGAAAGGGGTGGAAATGCTCTTCGTCAACTGGGAATGGGTCTAGGAATTGCTGTAAAGGAGGCTTAAGGGATGACCTTCCTGTCTGAAATAAGAGGCTGGGAGCGAGCTCCCTTTCTGAGCATCTACAAGGGGGCTTCTCTGGGCTTGGGGCTCAGAGACCATCAGACAGTAGGAAAGCAGGAGGGTGGAGGTGGGCACATGGCTGAGGTCCCTCTGGTCCCGCCCTGTCCTGCAGAATCAGGAGTACGAGCATCCACGGGACCTAGCCGCCTGCTGTGGCTCCTGTAGGAACGTGTCCTGCCTCTTCACTTTCCCCAACGGCACCACCTCCCTGTTCTTGGTATGCAGCCCCTTAACCACCCACCTGGGAGGGCATCCCAGGAAGCAACCGGGGCTCGGGGCTAGGCACAGACAGGGTCCTGGGCAGTACCTGTGCCCAAGAGCTGTGCCGTGTCTGTTCACTCAGACCATCTAGCCACCCAGTCCCATTGTCCACCTCTGTGCCCTCCAGCCTGGGGCGTCCTGGATCGCAAACTGTACCCGCCATCACTGTGGCAACACGCCCCTGGGCGCTGTGCTTGTCCGCTCACCCATCAGCTGCCCGCCACTCAACGAGACCGAGTGTGCCAAGGTCAGTGCCAGACTTCTCCCCTCACAGCATGGCCTGAAGCCAGGGGTATCGCCTGTCTTACTGGCGGGGGGCGTTGCAGGGTGGGGGGCTCCTGTGTGCGGAAGTGAGGGAAGAGGGGTTCCCTGGAGGCCGTACCTGCCCTGCCACCCCAGCTCCACATCTCCGTGTTCCTGCTCTGACCGCGTCACACCCCACATCCTCATACATCACACACACAGCTGCACACGGATGTATGCAAACATACATCCTCACATGTTCTGAGACGTCACATACACGCCATGCAGGTGCACAGTTCAGTCCTCTGATGCTCTAATGGCACTACCACTAGCCAAAACAGCACTGGCAGGGACAGCTGTCACTAAGGGCACATACCTCAAGGAAAAGGATTTCTGGAGGGTTTGGTTATTGTTAAATGAGGAAGGTTCCTGAGATTGATACTGGACATTGAAAGGTTTCTGATCTTAAAAACAAGTACACACGCTCCCAGTCACACACACTCGCATTACAAAACCACACATGTATATGTTCACAAAATCACATGCATGTGCTCACACACACAATACTTATTTACAAAGAACTGTCACATCATTGTTTTATCCATTTCATAATAGAGGAGGAGGGCTATAAGGGATAACTGCACCCATTTTAAGGGTGGGAAAACGGAGCCCAGAGGAAAAGGATGACTTATCCAGGGCTGGGATGGAGCCCAGGCCACTGACCCAAATGGGTCAGCCCCTGCATCGCTCCCCTCCCGGACCCTCTGTGCAGGAAGCACTAATGTGGGCACAGGGTGGGGCAGGAGGGAAGCCGCCACTGGAAAGATGGGAGGATCTCACCATCTTAACCCAGCCTCCGGTCTTACTGGGGCCACTGGCAGCTTTTGTGCCAGTGGCCCAGCCAGTCAGGTTAGTCCCTGTGGCTCTCCCATGGCCAGCCCAGGGGCGCCTTCTCCCTCTGGCCAGGGCCTGATGGACGGCAGGGCCTGGCACACCTGCCCTGGGGCATCTTGGGAGGAAAAGCTGAGTCAAGGCTCTTGTGCCTTTTCTGCCTTTTGCTGGGATCTTGGCTTCTGGCCTGGGATGGGCTCTCCCACTCACCTCCCCTCCTCTCCCTCTAGGTTGGGGGCTCAGTGGTACCTTCCTTGGAAGGATGCTGCAGGACATGTGAGTGAGCACGGTGGAGGCCCAGGGGTGAGGTCTCTGGTTGGGGGACAGGGTATCCTGTCAGGGCTCAGAGGGCCGGGTTCCTGGCCTGGCACCTCCAGTGCTAGTTCTTCGGGGGTTTAGATGAAGGGATCACACCGCTACCATGGGGCTCACGGCACTGGCACAGATATGCGGGTGGGCAGAGCCCATGCTCCTGTCCCTGTCCCAACAAAACGCCTTTACTTCTTGATGGAGACAGGGGACATTGGGCTATTGAGTCCAGGAGGTCAGAGATTCATCAGCTGTTCTGCCTCCTCCTGCCCCTGCCAAGATCCCCAGCCCAGAAGCCCCCCAGGTGAATTCTCCTTGTGGTCAGGAGCCCTGTCTCAGAGATTCCCCCCGGGGGGGGAATTCAGGCCCACAGGGTCGCTGTCTCAGTCCGAGTGACCTGGACTCACACCTGGCCCCTGGAACCTGCAGCCCGAGCCACATAAGCGTGCACATTCTAGTCAGCTTTAGGACCTTTGTCTACACGCCTCCCCTCTCCCTAGGGTCCTCAGACTGTCCTTTGGAGGGATGTAGAATTTGACACCCTTTTGTGTCCACCTCACATACTTCAAGGAAGCTGGGCTCAGTGCCTCATTGGCTGATCTCCGACCCGCAACTCATGTTCCCTGAATATTCCATGTGCTCCCGTGTGACCTACGACCCGTGTCCCTCTCCCCAGGTTCCCCGGGGACCCTGTTTCCTGTGGTCCCCGTTAGCCCCGCCTCTCCTCCACGGGTTAGTGTCCACTGCCACCCAGGTACTCCTCTCGGAAACCCACAGGACTGAGGCATGCAGCCACGTTGCTATTCCCAACAACGTTCCTTCTGCTAGGTGGCCCCAGCTCTGGGGGTGGGGGAGGGGAGGGCGGGGCCTCTGCTCCCTGCCTCTGGCAAAGGCCTTTCTCGGCCAACAGTGCATGCTGGGTAGCGAGCCTCATCCCTTGGGCTTGCGTGGGAATGCTTCAGCGGTTCCCCCTCTCCTGGACCCATCAATGCCGAATGCCACTACCACTTTGCTCCCGCTTGTCACTCAGCTGGCCTTGGTCTGGGACCCCGAGGGCCCTGGCCGGGACAGCCCTTGGTCCTCTTGCCTCCTGGAAACAGGGAAGGAGGAAAAAGTGAACTTAGCTCTGGCCAGGAGTCCTGCACTGGGATGATAGGAAACCCACTGTGGTGAGGCCAAGAGGCCACAAGAAAGGATTCCACCCTGTTTCTGGCAGGCACCCTTAGTGACAGAGGGAGCCCATGCATCAGACAAATATTTATTGAGCATCAATATGCCAGGCCCTGTTTTAGGCACTGCAGACACAGCATAAATAAAGCTTTATGGAGCTGATGTTGTAGTGGGAGAGCCCCGCATAATAAGTCAAATATATATGATGGATGCATCCGGTTTTATGGGGGTTGAAACTTATGCAACTTGGGGGGCCTCATAAGAGAAAGAACACAAACTTACAAGTCCTGTATCAGGGTGTGAAAGCGAGTATTCATTGAGAATGAGAAAAGAACCCACAAGTTGTGGAAGGGGCCGTTCAAAGGAAGGCCCAAAGCTTCCGTTTCCCCAGCATACTGGGGACATGATGGTGACAGTGCCCCAGATAGAAATAAGGCAAGGGAGGGGGCAGGGAGGGAGCACAGGGTGGAGGGAGGGTGGGCGTTATAGTTTCAGGAGTGGTGAAGGAAGGGCCCAAGGGTGAGCTATTTGAGCCAGTGAGGGCAGGAATGGCCCTGAGCTCGCTTGTCTGTGGGAGGCGTGGTCCAGGCAGAGGAACCTGCTTATCACTTTCCACCTCTGTGACAACTGTGTGAAGTGGGCAAATCCCTGGCCCTGTCTGATGGATAAAGGAAACCCAGTGAGCCTGAGGCGTGCAAGCATCTGCTCGGGACTGGAGTTTCCAGACATCCAGGAAACTGCAGATTCTTTACCCAGAAGCCCTCTCAGAGTCAGAATGCTGAAGCTGAGCCAGAGGCACAAGGGGAGTCGGGGGTGGGGGGCATGGCCAGGGTCACGGGCAAGGATTAGAGATAGGCTTTGGGGGTGGGGTGGGGAAGCAGCCCACCTCGTCTCCAGATCCTCCTCCTCCCTGGCCAAGAGCCCTTGAGGCCATCCGGACATCGTTCCTTTTCTCCCCTGCCCTAGCCATCTCCACATCTTTCCAGGGCACTGAGTTAGAAGGCTTTCTCTTTGCTGGCGAGGGGCTCTAATGCATGGGCACTAACACCAGTAGAGAGACCCTCTAGCATGACACTAACTGCCCCAGTCTGGCCCATCCTGCTGCCCCCCTGCCAGCACTTCTCAGCCATAGCTGCCTCACCCAGCCTGTCCCCCCAGGTAAAGAGGATGGGCGCTCCTGCAAGAAGGTGACCATCCGTATGACCATCCGAAAGAATGAATGCAGGAGCAACACCCCTGTGAGTGTCGCCCGAGTGGTGGTGGGAGGAGGTTGGGGGGGGCGGGGCTACACCGTGGGCCTCACTGGCCTGCCTGTCTCCAGGTGAACCTCGTGTCCTGCGACGGGAGATGCCCATCCGCCAGCATCTACAACTACAACATCAACACCTACGCCCGCTTCTGCAAGTGCTGCCGGGAGGTGGGCCTGCAGCGCCGCTCCGTGCAGCTCTTCTGCGCCACCAACGCCACCTGGGTGCCCTACACAGTGCAGGAGCCCACCGACTGCGCCTGCCAGTGGTCCTGAGACCTGGGGGCTGGCTGGCCCAGTGTGCAGGGGGAAGCTCCTGGGGAGTAGAGAGCTGGTATGTGCTGAGCATGGCATGCCAGGCAGAGGCACAGAACATGATTACACCCATACTGGCTCTTTCTCTGGCCTCCCTCTCCTGCATACAGGGAAAGTGCCACACCCGAGGGGTCAGGGAACTCAGCTCTGTCCTTGGCTGAGGTTTGGAATGGGCCCTAGACTGGGGGCACCAGCCCCTGCATGGATGTGGGAATCCATGACTCTGGCTACAAGTGGAGAGGGGGGAATGCTTTCCTGAGAAGGAAGGACCAGAGCTAGACCCAGGACCACGTGCAGGGCCAGGATGTGGTGGCCCATTCTCTCTTTTGGCCCTTTCTACCAGGGAAGAACCACAGACACAGTAAAAGGAAGGGAGGCTTTAATTGCAACACACAGGCCTGTGAGTAGCTGCCCAGGAGGACTTCCCAGAAGCATAGAGGGTGGGTTCCCAGGCCAGGGTCCTCTCAGCAGTGTTGTGAGGCCAGGCCCAGAGACCGGGAGGGGGCTTGGTGACCCTCAAGTCCCCTATAGCCCCAAGAGGGATGCCCCCGTATTCTGTTGTTGACACTGTGGTTCAGGAAAGGATTTAGGAGAACAGACCCATGCCTGCTCTATACGTATCCCCCACAGCCAGACTTCCTGGAGGTGAGCTGGCTCTTGCGAGGTGGGGGCAGGATCCTTGGTTATTTAATGGTAACTTCAGCCTGCAAGGGCAGTGCCTGGCTTTGCAATGTGCCTTCTCTCCAAGGACGTAGTAGAGTTGGTCTCTGGAGGGGCCTGACTGTGAGTTTTGTGGCTCAGCCAATTCCTAGCTCTATGCATCATGGGACTGTTTAGCAGGAGAGCGTCTATCTGTGGAAAATGCAAGCCCTACATACAGCTGATCTCCCAGAACCTTGTCTCTGAACCAGAGTGTCCTTCTTAAAGCCAGGTCTAGGGTCCCCTTCACACCCCACTCTGTAGGCCACCTCCCTATGCCACTGTGTGCTGCTGGGTCCAGGCCAGGATGCTCAGGCCCCAGCAGTGATCTGGTATGTCTGGGGATATGTGGCTGCCCTAGTGTCCCTAGGTTTGGGGATAGAGGCCTGTGCCAAGATGGTCCCCAACTGTTCCTGCAGCCTCTTTGTTCTTGTATCTGTATTCTGGTTCTAGATCCAATAAACCACGGAAAGATATCAGGCCTCTGAGCATCTCTGGATTATTTGCTTTGAATCTGAAGGAGTTTCAGCTGTGAAGAAAAGACTCTATTTTATGGCCCTGAAGGTCACCCCACCTTGTCCTGCCCCACCTGTGCCCAGCACTGTGCCCCCCTCAGCACCTGCCCTGCCCCCACTGTGTACTCCTGGGGGCCTCACTCCTGATGGTCACACCCACCCCTGGAATCACATGTTTCTGCCTCTTTACCTCACCTTCACTTCCACCCAGGCATCCCTCCTGCCTGCTCCTCCTGGAAGCCAGCCTCCTACTCCAGCCCTTTGGCCAAATATCCCAGTCCTGATCCCCCAGCTGCCTCCTGGGAAACCAACTCTTTTAGATTCAGACATTTTAGTGTAAGATTCACAAGAAGCACACGTTATCAGCCAGCATGATCCCATGCCCTGTGCTTTAGAAAGGACAGGACATGGTGAGGAATTTAAACCTTGATCAGTGTTGCCGGATTGCCCTCAAAAAGCCACCAGCAGCACTGATATCAGTGTTCACTGAAATGATTTGGAGATGGTGATTTATATAAAAAATACATACACCCTTTGATGAAGCCATCATATTTCTAGGCAGCTGTGGTAGGCTGAATGATGGTCTTCCAAATATGTCCACATATTCATACCAGAAAGCTCTGAATATATGACTTTACATAGTAAAAGGGACTCTGCAGATGTGATTACGGTAAGATGTTTGAGGTGGGGAGGCCATCCTGGATTATCCAGGTGGGCCCAATGTCATCCCAAGAGTCCTTGGAAGAGAGAGGCAGGAGGGGTCAGAGAGAGGAGATGAGATGACAGATGTTGAGGTTGAAATGATGCATTTTAAGGTGGAGGAAGGGGCCGCTGGCCAAAGAATGTGGGCAGCCCCTAGAAGCTGGAAGAGGCAAGGAATGGATTCTCCCCCGGAGCTCCAGAAGGAACACAGGCCTGCCCACACCTTGATTTTAACCCAGTGAAACTGATTTCAGACATCTGACCTCTGGAACTCTAAGAGAATAAATTTGTGTTATTTTAAGCCATTAAGTTTGTGGTAATTTGTTACAGCAGCCATAGAAAACTAATACAGCATCTAAAAAGGCAATTCATACAAGGCAGGTGCCCAATTATTTATTACAGCATTGTCTTAAGTTAAAAAAAAAAAGTAACAACTTTACATGCCTATCAATGTGAATGATTAGATCACCTGCTACAGCCATGCCATTGAAAATCATAATAGAACTGTTTCATATACTGGCATGGTGGGCTCTCTAGGATATGGTAAATGAAGAAAGGAAATTGTGGGTCAAGTCCCACAGGATGATCCACCTCCTTTATGCACCTGTGCAGGGACACACACACATACACACACACCTACATCAGTCTCATTCCCTTGGGTTTTCAGGACTGAGGAGGGCCCTTCCTCGCTGCTTGGGCCAGCTGGTTCAATGGCAACATTGGTCCCAGAACATCCTGTTTGGTCCTGAGGGTCCCAAAGACTGTCACTGTGTAAGGGAGGACAAAGTGATTAGAATAGATTCAAGGCTCAAGGGGTATGTATGGCTTCTCCCCTATCCCCAATATCTTTGCATGACTTAAAGCTTCAGGGAAGCCCAGAGGCCACACAGCAGACAGGTAAGGAAACAGGAGTCCAGGGCCCAGCCCCTCAGAGAGCTGGTAGCTGAGCTGGGCGGCTGCCCAGCCTACGGGCCCCCTGTGACGTCTTTGCAAACACGAGGGGTTTTGAGCCCCAGAACCATCCCATTTTCCCTGCCTCGGGCTCAAGTTCCCGCCCTGATTTTCTGGGCTTAATCTTCTTCCTGTGGAAATCAATAAGGACATTGTGATGGAATGATTCACGTTCAAGGTCAGGCCAGAGCAAATTGGAGGCGACATGCTGATTTTTACCGCCTCACAGAGAGGAGAGCCAATCCTGCTCCCAGACACCTTAACCCTTTCCTCACCACCCCCAGAGGCGGGGGCAGCACTCGCCCAGCTTCAGCCTCCTCCCTCAAGCCTAGGGCCCCAGGGCACATTCACCCTAGTGTGGCCCTGCCCTTTACATCCCCCTCCCGCCCCCTCCCCCCCAGGGGGCTCTGTCTGACCACACAGGCTTTGGAACCTCACACAAGCTCCTGGTGATTTGGGGTAGGTAGATGGCAATCACAGCCTGAGCCAAACAGGAACAACTTCAACTTGAAGGTCAGATGCTACTTGTATAAATTCATTGAATTTGTCTCCATGAAGGTGCGCTTTTCCCACTTCCAACCCTCTTTTCAGAGCTCTTAGGTCCCCCCACCCCTTCCCTGCTGCCCAGGGTTGTCCCACATGGGGAGACGGAGGAGAAGGGGGACTAAATTCCTCATTAAAAAAAAAATTTTTTTTAATGTTTATTTTTGAGAGAGAGAGAGAGAGAGACCGCTTGCACATGATTGAGGGAGGGGCAGAGAGAGGGAGACACAGAATCCGAAGCAGGCTCCAGGCTCTAAGCTGTCAGCATAGAGCCCGAGGCAGGGCTCGAACCCACGAATGGCGAGATCATGACCTGAGCCGAAATCGGTGCTTAACCGCTGAGCCACCCAGGTGCCCCAGTTCCTCATTTTTTTTTTTTAATGCACAGCAAGTCAGATCATTTCTGTGGCTCAAACATGATACAAGTTTATTTCTCCCTCCTATAAAAAACAAAAACAAAAACAGGTGTTTCTGAGTAGCTGGAACCTTGCCTCCAAAACGATTCAGGACCCTGGCTCTTCTATCTTGAGGGACTACCATCTTCAACACAAGCCTTGCAAAGGCGCCATGCTCCTCTGCCTCAAGCCAGCCCCTGGGAGGTGTGCCAGGAGCAGGAAGCATGCACTGCAGGTTGGGGGAGCGGGAGCGCAAGTGGCTTGCTCTCTTCCACTCACATCCCACTGCCCAGAACCTGTGTGTGTGGCCACAACTAACTGCAAAGGAGGCTGGGAGATGTAGTCCGACTGTGTGCCCAGGAAGAAGAGGGGCTGGGTCTGTGATATGTCTTCTCAGTGAGGAGGTAGATAGTGGGTCAACTCTGAGGAGTGTGGTTGAGTAGGACAGAGAGAGATAGGGCATGAGGTCAAGGGAAGGTTTATTTGTTTGGTGGTTTGAGGAAGGCAGTGATTTGACCAAGTATTCTGGAAAGAGCCAATGGAGAGGGAAGGGTTTTGCTGGGGAAGAGCTCAGGGTCTCAGAGGGCCCTGGGCTGGCATGAGGAGGAACAGTGACAGATAAAGGCACCTCTGGCTGGGTGGACCCTGCCCTGATCTTTATTCATTCTGGACCCCCAGCGTCTAACACAGAGCACTGAAAGCTGAGTATGAACGTGTGTTTAAGCATGAAAGGGAGGAGCCCGGGCAGCAAGAAGTTAAAGAATGTAGGGGTGGGCAGATCTGGGGAGCCAGGTGCCCCCCAACATACTGTGGCAGTGCCAGTTAATCCCTTGCAGCAGGCAGGAGGCCTGCACAGCTGTCTCTTTCAAGCTGGAACTGCACACCCAGCCGGCCCTTTGCCCAGAGGTCCTGGCTGCCCAGGGTTGGGAGGAAGGGGAGGAGATAGGTAGGCAACATGGTGGGTAACTGGTCCAGCCCCTGCATGCTTGGACAACTCGTTCTCCAGAGCTGAGCCATTCTCTAGGCTTGCTACTCAGCACACCGCCGCCCCCCCCCCCCAACCGCCGCCACACTTGGCATGAAGACCTACCTTCCTCTGGGCCACTGTCCTCCCCCACAGGCTAAAGCCAAACTGTGTCCCTGTTCGTCCTACATC